AAGTGAAGAATTCCCCTTTCCAACTGAAACTAGAAAAAAAATTGGGTACCATAGAAGGAATCACTTGAGTCTAAATTTGGCCATAATGATAAGGATTAACAGTTCAAGGCGGGATATTTAAGGGCTAAAAATCTTTCCAAAATCAGACCATGTAACATTAAATGTTGTGTCTTAAGCCATGCCTGCACTAACTTTGCCTGGCAGTGGTGCCCTCAATCATGTTCCACTCTTCCGGATAGGCTGTGTGGTTGTATCTGTGTACCACTGGGGGTGACCTAATTAGCATGGGGCTACCTGGCAGTGTCATACAGTACCACATATTATAGCTATGTTGCTTCTGATTTTAGAGGCAGTGTGCCCAGATCAGGATGGCAAACATAAGAAGTGTCATATTGGGTTGGAACAAAGGTCTAATCCATTATCCTATCTCCAACAGCACCAAGTAGTAGATGCGTTAGAGCCCTATCAGACATTGCATTTATGGCACAATTAATGATTTACATTTATGGCATGCTAATCACACCATAAATTGAAACATGACACATGTTTAGCTAATGTTTATGACAATAAAAGGGCAAACCAGCCACAAAGATATTAAACATTTAATGTGGAATATCTGTGTGGCTGGTCTGTGTTGAACTTTAAACTGAACATGTGGCATGTCCTGGCACACGTTCTGGACCCAGAGCTCCCTATGCCCCATTCCAAAGATCAGTAGGATGGGGCACAATGCAGTCTGGGAACCAACACAGAGCCACCCCGCACCCAATCCCTGGGATCAACTGATCATTGGCTTCAGGCAGGAGGCAGCACCAGCTCTCAGACACAGCCCCCCACCCCTCCAGAGGTTTCAGAAGGACAGCATATAAACAGGGCATGTGTAGAGTGATCCATCCATTGCCATTCCCTCCCTGGCATCAATCATTGGTGTGTTTGTGGGGGTCCAGTCACGTGGCATTTACTAAGTCATTTTGTAGCATTTCTTATGCGTGCTGTTTCTAATATCCAGTCATCTCCCTTACTTACCTGTGTGCAGTATCCGTGGCTACCTATCAATTGGTTTGTGAGCACATCAAAGTCACTGCGCACCCTAGAAAAGATATGAGATGATTCAGTCACAACTCTTCCTTTCACAACAGTTGGCATTTCTAATGCCTGGAAAGCCTATTCCCCAAGCACAAATATGGCTATACTTTTTGAATTTGTTTAGAATACACTTCTCTGAGGAAAAAGAGATACATATGTGCTTTTAGTTACATAAAATCTGCTGAAAATGCATGTTAAAATTTGTTTTACAAGAAGTTAGTCAAGTGCTAGGCTAGTGAACTAAAGGGAGAGGAAAACGGCTGCCAGTGGTTATTGGAATCAAAGCCCCAAAACTATAACACTGCTTTCTTTCAAACAGATTTATCAAAAAAGTCTTAGGATAAGACAAACTTCATTTTTGTACGTTACGTCCATGGATGACATTTTAGGAATGCATGTCATTTTATATTTGATTTCGATTATATAAAATATGGATAATAGTAGCAAAGGTTTATATACCATTTTCTCCCATTTTAAGCTCAAGAATGTTATCATTGTTATCCATGGTATTTGCCCATTAACTGTAGGCAGTGCTGTACATATATTGTGCATAGTAGTCTCCACCGTAGGAAAAAATAAAGGAAGATCAATGCATAGATCAAATGCTCTACCTTTACAAACACTGGGATTGCTATACTGTTCCACGCCAAAGGTCCATTTACTCTGCTATTATTTCTCAGAAAGTGACCTGTTTGATTATTTAAAAAAAAAAAAATCTCATAACAATTGCAGAATATCCTCTCTGTAGAGGAAGATTTTTCATCCATGCATTGCATCACTTAGTAGTTGGTTTACGTCCAGAAACATGAGAGTTTATAACCCATATCATATTTTTATCTTATCTTGAGTAATTACAGCTACTCTTATATTACTCATAAATGTCTAATGTCTTTTTGAAACCAACCATTTTGGACTCTATGATATCTTGTAGTAATAAATGCTACTGATTAATTACATAGTACATAAAAAATGGAATTCCCTCCTTTAGTTGAACTATGCTGATTTCAATTTCATTGGGTCTCTCCTGATTATCGTATTATGTAAGAGGGTAAAGAAAATGTCCGACTGAACATTTCTCTATTTTTAATTATTTGATATACCTCTCTCATATTCCCTCTTATTTCTGTCCTCTCAAAAAAAATGCACATGGTTTTTTAAATATGTAAGTATTTCTGTACATCTAATTTTTTTGTTCCCTATCTTTGGACAACTTAATTAAAAATGTATTGCAGTATGATAGGGGAAAGGATACAGTGGTCAAACTGGCCTGGATGCAATAGGATCTGGCTTAAATTTCAACCCAACCTTAAATGTAATTCCATTTTCTGTTTTAAAAATGGGTTCTGATACTGAAAAGATTCAGTTATTTCTTGGTTTCTGCCTTTCTTTCTGCATTCTTTGGTTTCATCCCAAGCATCCCAGAGGTTATTTTCTTATAGTATTTCTTCTAATGCTGAAACAAGGATTTATTGTAAATCTCATAAAATTTCTAATCTCCTTTCAATCCTTTCAGGACTGAAAAATCTATGTAAACTTGTGGAGTTTCACCATGGCACCACTACATAATGCAAGTGAGAAGAACAATGTAGGAGTTTTGGTGATGGCTAACAGCTAAATCAGCTATTACTACTAACACTAACACTGAATTGAAAGGAAAACAAAGAATTTGTGAAAACTCTGCGTGCAGTATGGAGAAATTTCTTTTGAAAGGATCACAACCTTACACGCCAAGGATGGAATGATAATAATCTTGGATTTTGGCCACTTCTCAGTTTTAGAAACAGTTTCAACACGAAAATCTCATAGCCTCATTTGAAAAGAGAGGACTGTTCAATATGCGTCAGTTGGGGACGATGGGACATACATGTAGGACAATAGGAGGAAGTTCTAATTTCATCTGTAGGTGCAAACAATATGGGATTGTTGAGGTCTATCTCAGATTTTCAAGAAAAAGCACATCTGCATTTCAAATCACTTCGACTAATGAGGAAGCAACGATCAGGCATATAGCTGACAAGATTTACAACTGTTATAAATCATATTATACTGCAATTCTTCCTTCCAAGAAGTTAACATGGAACAGAATGCAAACAGGCACATCTGTTTACAATATTTACGATGAAACAAAAGGTGAGGTAGATGAAGAGCCCAGGAACTTTTGGGCACTCTATAGACACCAAAAAATAATATTGCATTATATTTCTGTCAGAACACAATGCAGTACATTGATAAAGTGCAAATTAGGGACATGTTTCTTCAATCTGATGTCAAAAGCGCTTATGCTCATCATCTTCATCACTGGGTGTTCCTAATGTTGTTAAGACCAGAGGTGGTCAACCTTTCAGCCCCATGAGCTGGATGAGCGGCATGGAACCAGTTCACAGGCCAGATTCAGCACAGATTTGGTCCATGGTTCAGATCCTGCCCGAGGCTGGTCCGTGGATCTGGCTCTGTGCCAGCCTAACCTGGCACACCAAGACTGATCATATGCTGGCCTTACCCCATATACCAGATCTAACAATGCACTCACATGATTTAGTGTGAAGGGTCACATTGTCCGGCACCAAGGGCTTCCTATTGGTCCTAAAATTTGGCAGCAGGGGAGAGGCAATTAAAACTGCCACCACTTTCCTGCTACCAAATTTCTGGACACCTGGGAGCCCTGCAGGCCAGATCTATCCTGCCAGCTAGAGGTTGAGCATCACTGGGGCTACACCACCACTTGTCTATAATCCCTGTAGAAGGAGATGAACATGCCTGGAGCAGGGAGCTGGACCAAATGACATCCTGAGGTTCCCTCCAGTTGTACTTTTCTAAATATTGATCACTAGTGTCACTTGTTGAGCATTTTTACTCTAAATTTTAAAGCATTTAACAGTGGAGAGTATCATTAACTGTGAGTTATGGGTAGCAAAGCTAAGAGATTAAGGATGTGCCCAGTGCTGTCAATGGTTCAAATGGACAAAGGGATCCCAGGTTTTCCTGCATGATCCTCTACATCAGGAGAATCTGAAGTCAATGGAAAGAGGCTACACATATGTGGCACAGCAAAAAGGGGATGAGACTGCAGTCCCCCCACCCCTGATTCCACCCTTGAATATTATTATTACTTTTCAATGTCATGCAAATATGAAAGAATTACTAAAATATTTTGGAGGCTGAAAATATAAAATCAAGTGATATATGGTGCTTGAACCATGCAAGATTTTTGCAATAGTCTGGAAGTGGTCCACTTAGAGACCGTGGTCCTCATTCAGAAAAATCCTTGGGCAAACACTTAACTTGAAGCACAGGCTACATACTCAGTCGCTGACCCAAATAGCCATCACCACTTAGCTGCTGAGCAAAAATGCTATCTCTAGGTTTTAGACTATTCCAGAAGATCTCACAAGAGAAGGATCTTTATTGGCCTTATTTTCTATTCCCTACTTTTGCAGTATTTAAGATAAAATAGGCTATGTCTTTCCTGAAACTGAGAGATAGGATCACACCAATGTAGACATACTGGGCATGTCCACA